TACTGGGGCTTTGGGGAAAAAAAGGAGGAGGATTGGCAATAGATGTTAGCTCAGAGCTGGTCTTCCTCAGCAAAAAGAGGAGGATTAGCACGGATGTTAGTCAGGGCTGATCTTCCTCACACACACACAAAAAAAACGAATCATTTTTGAAAGATAGCCAGGTCAAGCATTACCCATTTTAAGAAACTAATATAGGATGATTACACTGCTTCAACTGAAAAATTGTACAAAATAACTTCTTATACACACTAGGGAAATTTCTATTTAAAGGCTATTGCAGTGACTCCTTCTGCAATGCAGAGAAAATTTTACACTTTGGTTTCTAAGTCTAAGCCAGAGGGATTATAAGGAAGACATGGTGGTGTCTTGTGTTGAGGGAAGGGAAGAAACTGACTTAGGGTGCAATACAATGCAAGACTGTATGTATATCATTTCCAAATATGGCACAACAGGCAAAAGTCTAAAATGACCATTAATCACTTATTGTTTGATATGTTCCCAACACTAAGTTAGGTAGGGAGCAGTGGATGGGGGCAAAGGGATACAGAATGTACAAACTATGGCCACTTATTCAAGGAACCTATCTAGTCCGAGAAATACATGTAATAACTAACATGCCAAATAAATAAATTAAAAGGTAATTACTACAAGGAGTCTTCACAATTTAAACAAGGGGTCCCCTTAATTAAATCAAAGGTAGTAAGAGTGGGGAGAAACAGTAACTTCTAAAATGTTAGGAGTCATTACCACTTGAAGATCAGTAACAAATAAAGATAAGTCATCCTTAAAATTATGATACAGGTGAGTGTGATCTGAGTGGACATTTTCCTATTATGAACGAGAGTGATAACTCTACTTATTTGGAAATTGAGGCCACTCTTGACCATCTAGGTCCAAAACAGCCATCACTTAGAATGGCGTATTCCGGCCATTTCTGTTACTTCTGGCTGCTGTTTATAATTATGCCTCACATAAAATGTTGTTGGTCACCTCACTGTTCAGGCTACTGTCATCTCTTGCCTGGATAACAGCAATAGCTTCCTTACTGGTATCTCCATCTCTAGTATTGTCCCACTCCAAACACCGCCAGTCTTCTTTCAACAACACAAGTCTAACCATGTCACTTCCAGCTTAAAACTTTCTATAAACGCTCTCAGAATAACGTTTAAATCTCCTAAAAGGACTCACAAGGCACTTTGTGATCTAGCTTCTACTGACATCACTAGTGTCATTTCTTGCCTGGAAAACCTCCACACTCCCTGTCTAACTCCTACTCCTCTACCAGGTGTTAGTTTAGTAGCTTCTTCCAGGAAGCCTTTCTTGATACCTCAAATCTTATTGATACCAGCGTTTCTCTTATTTAGGTAAGGGACAATTTCCATTTAAAGGTCTACTTGCAGTGATTCCTTTTATACAGAGCACCTATACTTCCCAACTATTTTTTGTTTGCTATCTGATTCTTCCTTTGTAGAAGCCCACTGAGGGCAGCAACCACATATTTTCATTTTATTCTTAATAAAGCAAACGTATTTCATCCCTATTATCTAGCATAAAGTATGTCTAATAAATATTTGTTAGATGAATGATTAAATGTTACAAAACATCATACAAAGGAACATACACACATACTCTATTTTGAATATCCGACATTTTTGATTATCTACTATGCAACTGCTCCTTTCTACTAGTAAAGGTAACTGAGATGACCAGTACTTACTTTCTATGGTGATCTGACATCTTTGTGGTCTACGACTTACATTCATCTAGTTATTCTGCACACCCTTCCTGAGTTCCTATTATGTACCAGACACTGTGTTAGGTAGAGAGGACAAAACAATGAATGAGAAAGGGCCCTTTCCTTTAAGAGGCAGTCTAGTAGGGGGAGACAGTTACGTAAACAAATAAGTGCAACTGAAAACAGAGCGAGAGAGTGGGCGAGAGGGAGAGAAAGAAAAAGAGAGAAGGAAGAAGGGAGGGAGGGAAGGAGAGGGGAGAGAGAACGGACTTCTCAGTGCAGTGATGTAACTATGCAGGGAGCACGGTCAGGTCACAGAGAAGAGTATGATCAGCTCTACCTGGGGTGTGAGGGAGAAGAGAAAGGCTCTGTAGAAAAGATGGAAGACACTTTGTAGAGACCCTACTTTTTCATCTTTATATCCCTGACAGTGGCAGCAAAGCTACCTACTGTTAGTGTATATGCCAGGCACTAGGCTAGCTCTTCACACATATTATTAATTCTCCAAACAAGTCTATCAGGTAGATAGAAAAAGGGAAACTGAGGCTTAGAAAGTTAAAGTGGTTCTCCTAAGCTCACAAAGATAATAAGTAGCAAAACCAGGATTCAAACTCAGGCCTGACCACAAAACCTGAGCTACTAACCACCCTGCTATGCAGTACTCAAATATTTGAATTAGTGATCGGGGATATGTGCAACTACCTGTTAAAAGATAAGTGTTCACAAAATACTTCCGGTTCTCTTTCTGGACGCTTGGTGGGACTGCTCTTCCTAGGTTCCTTGAAGTCAGGTGTGGCCATGAGACTCACTTTGGCTCATGAAATTTAAGTAGAAGTGATGTGTCACTTCTGAGCAGAAGCTTTAAGAGCCAGTGAGCAACTCACCACCTTTCTCTCTCTTCCAGGATGACTGGCAAAGCTCCAGATGGTGCTTGCTGCAGCAGCCTGGGGGGCAGAGAAGTGCTCCCCAGCAAACCTATGTGAGTCAGCAGGACACACACCTTGTCTTAAGCCACCAAGAATCCGGGTCGTCTGTTATGGCAGTATAGCTCAGTGTATCTTGACTAGTACAGTGGTGTTGCAAGGATGGAGACTTTGAGAAAGGGAATTCTGTGACTCCAAGTTGTGCAGTTTGCCCAAAGGGAGATGCTGCCACTTACTTTTTCTTTGGTAGTCTGCCAGAGTCCAACAGGAGTGCCCATATCTGATGAGTCCCTGCCATGGCTATCCACAGAACGTCATCTCGTTGGACCTCTGAACCTTTATAAAAAAATAAATAGTAATTATTATATATACATCATAAATATTTGTAATGTTTTAAGTTGTTTTTGAAAATTTTCCATTTTTCTTATGCAAGTCCTTTAGACTTATAAATTTACCTGTAATGATTTCACAGAAATCCAAAGTATTCTTAACAACAATATGTCCCACTACATCTCTGGACACTACGTTTTTAAACATTTGATTTTTTATTTTATGTGACAGAAGAAATGGGTTGACATAGATTCTCCAAAGGAACTGTGCTGGTCAAATACCTAGCACTAGATGCCAGCCCAGTGGCGCAGTGGTTAAGTTCGCGTGCTCCACTTCTGTGGCCCAGGGTTTGCAGGTTCGGATCCTCGGCATAGACCTATGTACTGCTTATTAAGGCACGCTGTGGTGGGCGTCCCACATAAAGTAGAGGAAGATGGGCACAGATGTTAGCCCAGGGCCAATCTTCCTCAGCAAAAAGAGGGAGATTGGCAACAGACGTTAGCTCAGGGCTAACCTTCCTCATTCAAAAAAAAAAAAAAAAAAACCTAGCACTAATCACCTAAATTCCATGCTTTAGTAATAGGTTCTTTGAACAATTTCTCATGAAAAAACTATCTTTTAGTAATTTAATAAATGTGTATTTCTACCACAGTGTCAGCTTTTAGACTCAGACACACATCACAACTGCAATTTAAAAATACATTAATTGGCTGCGAAACTTTTTCAAAGATATAGTTGACATGCAAAAAAGCTGAGTACAATATATTACAGTACAGCTCTGTTTACTAAAACTAATGATAATTTTCTTTTTTTAAACTGATGTTACTACTTATTACAATGTGATAAAGCTGTTTCTCTAATTCTATTGTTAAAATATTTAATTATTTTAATTTAAACTGTATTCTGAGGCTACTTTTACATATAATTGAGACATTTTAACTAAAATAATTTGGTCCGACATATCTTATGCTAAAATAAGTATCTTGGTACAGCTATTTTATTTGTTTTTTCTTTAAGTTCAGGTAGTTTGTGTCTAGAAGGAATTTTTCATCTTTAACTTGTATTTCTTTCAAGCGTATTTCAATTTAAAAACAACAAAAATAATGATGATAGTTTTCAATAAATTATGGTTGCTATGTGCCAAGCACTTTACAGAGATTATCACTTAAATTTTCTCAAAAGCCCCAGGAAACAGGTAGTGTTCTTAGGCCTTTTTTACAGATGAATAAACTGAGGCTTAGAGAGGTCAGGTAACTTGCCAGGATCACAGAGCCAGGAAATGAAAGAACTAGAATCTGAACCCAGGCAGTCCAACACAAATATCTATTCCATATGTTATCTCTTTCTCTATGTTCTTAATTTCTATCCTATGAAATCTAAAAGAAAGTAGTTTATTTCAATTTAATTTTTCATAGTCAAATATTTTTATAAACATAAATTGTATTAAAAGTGACACTGGCATCCATATATTCTGGGGACTCAGTCTCGGCTTAATCACCTTAAAACTAGATCAAAAGCTTTTCATAATTTTTAAATTTTATTTTGCCCCCGCTATGTGAAGACAAAGTGTAAAGGCAACCATCTGTAAGCCAGAAGAGAGCTCTCACCAGAAACCAACCACGCTGGTACCCTGACCTTGGACTTCTAGCCTCCAGAACTGTGAGAAAATAAATTTCTGATGTTTAAGCCACCCAGTCCTTGGAATTTTGTTATGGCAGCCTGAGCTGACTAAGACATTTCCCCTGAGAATAGAAATGAGACAAGGATGTCTGCTATCAACATCTTCATTTTAGCATCATACGAAGGTCCTAATTCGTGCAACAAGAAAAAGAAGCAAAAAGCATAAAGATTAGAAGTAAAACTGTAATTAACTGAAGATGACGTTCTTTAAAGCCCCTACTTTGCCAAAGGAAAGCTGTGTTGGTATATATCTAAGTGAAAGACCAAATCAGGTCTCCGTTATCTAGTACTCCAAACAGGCCAGTCTAGTTCAGCCAGGGTCTACTATATGAAGGCAAAAGCTTCCAATAATTAAGTGTGAGCATTTGTTTGGTCTTGGTCTCTGTGTACTTATTTCCTTTAGAAGTCCAAGGAATGAGAAAAAGTGTATAAGTGGAGGACGTGTCAGGTCAGGATTCAGGTGTTTGGGATTCTACGTACCAACTAATGACGATGATGATGACAACGGTGGTGAGGGCTGGGGGTGGTGAAAATGATAACCATCCAGAACACTTCCTATGTTTAAGGCACTGAACTAATAAACACTTTACATGGATTATTTCCTTTAACTGAACAACCTTAGAAAATCTTATTATTATCATCTCTATTTTATAAAGAAACTGAAATTCAAAGGGGTTAAATAATTTGTTGCAATTCACACAGCTAATCCTGGAATATGAATCCATTAGTGCATCTGACCCCAGATTATTAGTGTTCTGATCAGAATGAAGGAACTACAGAAGTGAGCTTGTGCTCTTCTGGCCAGTTCTCTCTGTGGCCCAATCTCTTCTCCCTCCCTTCTGCTGCTGGCTTCAAGTACCCAAGCATTTTCATGTGTGATCAGAAATAGGGATCTGATCAAATGTAACATGGCTCTCCGCTCCAGGATGTATGGCTAGGTTCACTCCTTCTGCCCTTCCCTCCCTGTAGCCCCTGGAATAGCCTATGGCTGAATAATCTCTCACAAGTATTTTTTCCAGTCCCTTGCCTTTTCCATTTTTGGTTTGGTTCAGCTTATCAACATCTCTTTGTGACTTTTATGATGAGACTCTATCTTATAGCAAAGGACAATAATAACAAACACTTATATAGTACTTTCTGTGTGCAAGAGCTGTTCTAAGTGCTTTCCATACATTAATTCTCATAGGCCTTTGAGGTAGGTACTATTAGTATCTTCAATTTAGAAGAGGAAATTGAGGCATAAAGAGGCTAACTCATCCACAGTCATACAACTACTAAGATATGAAACTAATTAGAACCCAAACAGTCCATGCTTATAACTGCCATGCTATACTGCCTCTCAAGAAGTTTTTACCCTGCCTGATCATATTTCACTGAGGGCTGAAGAGTTTGTTCTTGCAAGTAAAATGAGAGTTTAAGAAAAAAGTAGTCTGTAATTATAATGTCTATCAAACTAACAAGAATCATAATTTATACTGTCCATCCTGGATTTTAAAATCTAAAGCACACAGTTTTACCACTGAGTATGGGTATTAGTTTTGTTCCTTCTAACAAGAATGCGGCAATCATAAACATTGCAATTTTAAATTAAGAGTGCACTTAAGTATCACTGACTTTCAATGGTCACAAATTAAAAGTAAAAAAAGGACAATGCCACAAGCTAAAAAGGTTTTTGGAATGAGTATTTTTAAAGGCAAAACTCCTCATAATTATCAATAAGGATTAGTGAAATAGTTTCAAAAAACAGGAATAAAATCAGCAAATGAAAAGAAAATGACCTGCAATCCAGTTTTTAAAAATTCTGTTCTGGATAGCTATCATTTTCACCCCCCTCCCTCCCAAAAAAAGGCCAAGAGAAATCACTGTCAACAGACGTGCTACAAGAAATGTTAAAAGAAGTTCTTCAGGTAGAAGCAATATTATTCCAGAAGGACACTTGGGACTCTTAAGAAAAGAGCCATTTTGGAAAACAGTTTGTCAGTTTCTTATAAAATTACACACTTATCATACGACCCAGCAATTTCATTCCTAACTAAGCATTTGCTCAAGAGAAATGCATATGTCCACATAAAAATCTATACACAAATGTCTACAGAGTCTTTAATCATAATTGCCATAAACTAGAGACACCCGAAATGTCTATCAACTGGTAAATGAATAAATAAATTGTGGTACAGCCATGCGATGGAATACTACTCAACAACAAAAAAGAACGAACTACTGATACATACAATGGGGATGAATCTCAAAAGCATTATGCTAAATGAAAGAAGGCAGACATAAAAGACTATACTGAGGAACAAGAAATAGATCATTGTCGCCAGTGGCTGGAGTAAATGGTGGAGGTGGTGGGAGGGAGACTGGACAAAGGGTCATGAGAGAACTTTTTGGGGTGATGGAAATTTCCTATATCTTGATTGTAATAATGGTTATAAGACTTTATGTTTGTCAAAATTCACAGAACTTATACCTAATAAGAGTGAATGGTACTTTCTGTAAACTATACCTCATTAATCAGACTAAAAAAAAAATCTTATAAATACCAAGTCAATGTAATAAGATAGTATAAGAATCTTTTCCCAAATTTTAGATATAAGAACACTACAATTGTTTTTGAGAAAATAAAAACACTAGCCACACTGCAGAGAATTTATTCCTCAAAAGAATTCTGTATCATCTGATCATCTTTAGAGGATAAATATTTTTAACGGTATTTTACAACATATTTATGGTATTTTATAACATATTAACAGAAGTCAGAGAAGCCTTGAAGAACACAAGTACCAACACCGTAGATTATCAGACTAGCATACTAAATAGTTGGATTTCAATCGTTAAAGGTTGTATAAGAACAACTAATTCTATCCAGGGAAAATGATGATTAAAGGGCCAAGGAAGGTTAATGGGATTTGGGTACATTCTCCTTTTTATAAATGATTCTAAATCAGGTAAAGTCTAAAGTACTCAGAGACTAGCAGGGGTTTTGACCTTTATGATAAAAATCTCTCAGGTTATTGCCTGGCATGAATGGAGTCAGCATAGACTTGATATGCATTTTAGAAACTTGGCAAAGTTTCTGCTGAAAAAATGAACATATTGTAGTTAGTAATTATTTTTAGTGCATTATGAAGTTCTGACCATACTTACAGTGATAATCAAAAAGAATAAACAAAGATGAAACAATCACTTTTGTAAAAATCATTTTATGTTATTTTATGCTTTTATCACTATAATGGCATAATTAGGTTAAATATTCAGGTACTATTTAAAATACATACATATTTACATACTACATATATATTTAAAATAATCAGAGGTATTTCAAGACCCTTTCCTTAATCTCTTCTTGAAGTATGTTGTTTATTAACTAGGTCTCTTGGTAGGGTATATATTCAACTGTGTATTTGTCCTTGTTATTTTTCATGCTCTTTATCTAATATATTTTGTTTAAGGTTTAATTTTTAATTAAATATGCACACAAATGGATGCATGTTATACATAGCATTTAAATAATAAACATCCATGTGCATAGCACCTAGCTCAAGAAAAATAATATTTGAAAATCCCGTGCATCCCTCTATGATCATATCCCCCCCTTCCCAGAAGGAACCACCAATCTAAAAATTTATTTTTCATTTTCTTGCTTTACTTTTTTTTTTGAGGAAGATTGGCCCTGAGCTAACATCTGTTGCCAATCTTCCTCCTTTTTTCCTTTTTTCTCCCCTAAGCCCCAGTAGATAGCTGTACATCCTCCTAGTTGCTCTATGTGGGACACTGCCTCAGCATGGCTTAATGAGCGGTGTGTAGGTCCATGCTCAGGATCCAAACGGACGAACCCTGGGCTGCCGAAGTGAATCACGTGAACTTAACCGCTATGCCACTGGGCCGGCCCCTCTTGCTTTACTTTATAATTTTACCACATCTGGATGGATCTCTCAATGTATATTTAGTCTTGCTTGCTATTGAACTTCCTATAAAATAAATCATATCATAGGTCTCTTCCGTAACTTGCTTTATTTACTCAACAGACTCCTTCTGATACTTGTCCATGCTGCTGGGTGTAGCTGTGGTCCATTATTGGCACTGGAGAACAGCCTAGTATATAAAGATATCACAATACCTAATCTATTTTCCATGTTTTCCTCCTGATAATTCCATCCTCTCTCAAATTCCTAACTATGGTAGGATCTCAGAAATACTCTACAAAATTATTCAAGTATTAAAAAACTTAAGTGTTTAAAAGAACAATTTTTCTCAGCCACAGTCCTCTTCAAGTTGTCTTTATTCCCACATATGATTAAACCAGTTGTACAATTATGTAATTTAAATACATATGAACCAATTCAATATGACTGCAAAAAGGAAGCTGTTTCTATGAAAACAAAGTTGAATACTTTGGAAAGACTCAATAAAGGCAGGTAGTTAAGTCCAACTGTTGTTGAATTAGGCGTGGGAAGACAAGTGGACAGAATATGTTAAAAAAATTTCTACCCTCACATTTCTTTGCAGGTGTTTTAAAGTTCTCATCACACTTGAAGAAAACCAAAATAGCACACTTGAGGGGTGCAAGACTGTCAGGGGCCACTTAAAGAAAAGGCTTTGGTCCTACACCAATAGATTGGCTAAAAAATATACATTTATAATTCTTAAATTAAAATAAAGCATTTTTAGTTTTATGATTCCCAGATTTAACAGATTTTTTTTTTCTATATGGATCAATTATCATACTTCTAATCACTTCAGTAAAGGATTCTACTGTATTTATTTACTTCTACTTTTATTTCACAAAGGGTTCAGGTAGCTTACAAAGAAACAAACCTTCACAAGAGAAATAAATTTAACATAAGTAAAAACATTGAAGCAATAGGTAAGTAGGGTAGAAAAAAAAGATGCAGCCATGCTAATATTAAAATGAATGTCACGTTATCCGTTATACTTTGCTAAAGATAAATCTGTCTCTAAGTTTCCTAGCAATCAATCAATGCAAACACAATCAGTTATGATATTCAAATTACCCAGGAGCTTAACAACAAACCTGATACTTAGGAAAAAGTATAATTATCTATAATGCAGCGACCAGAAAAAAATTTCTCCAGTAGATAATCAGAGAGGTCATTTAGAAGGTAATAACTGAAACCACCAGCAAATCCTCATAGTAAAAACAGTAACACATCCCATAGGGCTATGTTTTGATGAAATACATAATATGAAACACATACAACACACTTATAAATATAAATGAATGTGTTATGTTTATGTGTTGACATATTTTTTAATGAATGATATGACGCCAAAATACAGTTTAATAAAAACAACTGTAAGGAGGGCAAATAGTCTATGATCCAATTTCCCCATACTCTGACAAACTACATTAATCTAGGATTAGATTCTAGAGTAATTTAAAGCAGTGGCTCTTTTTTTTTTTTTTTTTTACAGTAGCCTCGAATATTTTTTATTGTATACTACCATCAGGAAAAAATTTTGAGCACATGCACCCAAAGCAGTGGCTCTTAATGTTTTTGGGTAAAATACCACTTTGAAACTCTGGTGAGAATCTGACCAATCCCCCCAAATCTTAAATAGAATTTCTGGGAGGTTTAAGTACTTCATAAAGCCTAACCATGAGTGCCTTGGGTCTATAACCCAAGGTCAAGAACTCTTAGACTAGAAGTCACTGTGATTGTATGTCCTTCATACAGTGCTTGACAACCATTTTCTCGTAGCCGGCATTTTGAAAGGTGTTGAGCTTAAGTGCATTCAAGATTACTCCTCTTGCCAAGTACCTAGAGTGAAGCTATTTTAAGCTGTAAGTTAAATGCAGAGCCATATGCTTTTAATGATCTCTCGAACTAAGGTAGGACTCACTTCCTTTACCGTAAACTGAGCTTAATAAAGAAAAGTCTCAGATAGCACGTCACTCCAATTGGAAGCTGAGGGAGTACTTGTCAACAGAGTCAAGACTTTCCTTGGAAAGCAATTTGGGCGCATTCTCAGAGATAAACCAAGAAATTTCATGCCATAAAGTATGACTGAAAAAATGTGAGCCTAGAAAAATATTAAGTATTCCTCCACTCCTTGGCCATCCAAATCCAACTTAGTAAAAGCATCCTAAGTATATCCTATTTTTAAGCAACGTAAATTCTGATATATGTGATAGATTGAATTACTGGTAATTCAATTACTAACTCCTCTGTAGTAATATTATATATCCACACTCTTGCCATGGCCTCACTGTAGGTAAAGTGTATACCCCTGCCCCATGACTCTGAGGTTTAGTTATGTGACTTGCTTTAATAACAGTAGGTAAGCAGACATGACATGAGCAAAGGCTTAAAATGTGTGCAACGGGGCTTACTCTCTGGTGATCCTGCCTCTTGGCAAAAGAATATGCCTCAGACAGCTACTGGTCCAAGGAGGATGAGAAATAAATGGAGCAGATCCAACCCAAGAAATGGCTTGGAACCCAGCCCAGGCTCTGCCTTGATCAGCTGAATCCCAACGCTGTATGCGAGTGAGAAATAAAGGTTTAGGTTTGTATGAGTTTTGGGATGATTTCTTATGAAGCATTATTGTGGCAATTACTGACAGATACAGTAAATACAAGCTGTAAGTTGCAAATGTAAATATCAATAACTGAATTGCTATGTGAACCATCAGCTATAAATCACTGGGGGCTTAAGGGCAGAAATTTTTGTTTTCCTTGAGGGAGGCATAACCAAGGAACAAGTCTCATTCACCTTGACTATTTAACTGATGGATACATTTTAGATTATTTTTCCATCTATAAGATTTATGTTCAAATAGCTCAGTGGTGTACCAAAGGCAGAGAGGCAGAAGTGCTAAGTCCTGGTGGGGCAGAATATTTTTAACCCTGAAATTATTTACAATTGCTGGGACATGGTGATAAAAAGAAGACTGAGTTTTCGCTGGTTTTACTGCTGTTTTAAAATTCTCTACATATAATAAATCCGCTTATAGCTTGCAGCTGGGATGCACTGCTTCCCCTACCTTCCCAACCTCTTCTCCCTTGTGAACCACAAAAACAATTCACAATTATTAGCACACAGAATTCCAAAAACGGAATTCTCAAAAATAACTCCAACAAAATATCTAAGTTAAATATATTAAGTACAGGTAGTACCAGAAGTTCATTCAGTTATTTACAAATATTAAAATCTTTATAAATGAAAAAAATCAAGGTCATTGAATTGTAACTAAACTGGCATAATAGAAAATAATTTCAAATGTAAAGCCACGCAACTAAGCTGGTGCTTATACACTCTATAAATGTATTAAGACCATACAAACCATTTAGTCCCAAATTCCATTTTCAATGTGTTATACTAACTTGCTTTATTCATGAATCTGGTTTTAGACATGTAGATAACCACCTCAGTATCACTGTGGGCCAATGAAAAATAAGAGTACTAATGTTCCTGGATTATCTTTTAGCCAATTAATACACTATAAAATAACTAGCAATAGAATTATCCCAATAGAATGTCCCAAGAATATTTTTCAAATCTTACTTTTATTAAGCAAAGTTCACTTATATTTAATATTAAAAGTTTACATACCTGATGTTCCAAAAACCACATCCCAAGGGGAACTAATGGGCTGTCGTTCTCCTTCAGCTCCACCTTCTTTATCTGTACCTTGAATTCCAATGCCAGCTACGGTGCTCACCATCTCAGCTTCCAGGTCAATCTACGGAAATTAATACATGTTTTACGCAATGCATGTTGCTTTTGCTTTTTCTTTTGACATACAAAGATTTCCCATAGAACGTATAGAGAGTATTCGCAACACAAATACCTTTTTTTTTTTTTTTTTGTGAGGAAGATCAGCCCTGTGTAACATCTACCAATCCTCCTCTTTTTTTGCTGAGGAAGACTGGCCCTGGGCTAACACCCGTGCCCATCTTCCTCCACTTTATATGGGACGCCGCCACAGCACGGCTTGCCAAGCGGTGCGCGCTGGGATCTGAACCTGCGAACCCTGGGCCGCTGCCGAAGCAGAGCGCGCACTCAACCGCTTGTGCCACCGCGCCGACCCCAGTACTCTTTTTTTTTTAAAAAGGCTAATCAAGTATAGGGTGACCTTATTATTCAAATGCACAAAACTCAGTGCTTTTCATTTCCCCACCTGTCCATTCCCCCACTTTCTTCTTATCCCCCACCTCATCATGTCTCTACCAAAACTGGTGTTGATCTCATCTTAACTATAAAATATTCAAAAAGTGAAATTTGGAAATTAAAGTACAATCTAGAAAAAACCATGTTTCTTAAAATTAAATGTATATATTCCAATTACACTCAGATAGTAACTGACACATACAGAACTGAATATGCAATTTTGATTATTTTAGAGGAGACCAAGGCATAGATCATTAATTAACTTTCCCAAGATCCCACAGCTAGTAAGTTGAGGATCTGGGATTTGAACCCAGGCAGTTTTAGCTCTTTTACACTATATTGCCTCTACTTCATACACTGAAAAACTAATGCATTCTACTGCAAAAAAGATGCTCTAGTTTCACCTCCTGAGATCCTCTCCCAATATTTTACCATGAAAATTTTCAAACATAACAGAAAAATTGAAACCATTTTGCAGTAAACATCCATACACCTACCACCTACTATCAACATTTCACTTACTTGCTTTATCACATATCTTTTCCAGCTACCAATCCCTCAATCCATTTATATTTTTTGATGCATTTCAAAGTAAATTTTAAACATCAGTACACTGTCCCTAAACATCTCAGCATGCTTATCATTAACTAGAGTTCCTTTTTTGAGGCAAAACTTACAATGAAATGCACAAATCTTGAGCATATCATTCGATGAACTGTTACAAATGCATACACCCATGTAACCCCAATTTACAGAAAGATATAGAATGTTACCTTCACCTCAGAAAGTTCCCTCAAGCCTCTTTCCAGTCATTCTTGCCCCCAAAGGCAAACAGTTAAATTTTTTTCCATCAAAGAATAGTTTTCTCTCTTCTAGGACTTCAGATAAATGGAATAATACAGTCTGGACTCTTGTGTGAGGCTTCTTTCATTTCACATTTCTGAGATTTATTCATGTGTCAGTAGATTGTTCTTTTTTATAGCTGAGCAGTATTCCATCATAGGAATATAACATGGTTTATTTATATATTTTCCTACTGATGGACACTTAGGCCGTTTCTAGATGGACACTCTAGAGCCTTTAAATAGAGTTGCTATAAATATTTTTATAGGAGCCTTTTGGTAGACATATGTTTTCATTTCTTTTGGGTAAATTCATAGGACTTAATTGCTGTTAAGGATAGGGATATGATTAGTTTGATAAAGCTGCCACCAAGTTGTCCATAGCAGTCTATCATTTTATATTCCCACCAACAATGTACGTGAGCTCCAGTTGCTCCACATCCTTGCCAACTAGAGTGTCACTTGTTTCAATTTTAACCATTACAGTGGGTGTAGAGTGGCAATTCATTGTGGTTTTAATTTACATTTCCTTTTTAACTCATAATGTTGATCACTTTTTTATGTGCTGTGGTCATTCTTATATCTTCTTTTGAAAAATGTCTGTTCAAATCTTTGGCCCATTTTTTATTGGGCTGTCTTATTTTTCAGTTGCAGAAACCTTTATATTTCATGCATACTAATCCCTTGATAGATACGTTTTGTGAATTTCTGTGACTATTTTCTGACAACCTGTGGCTTGTCCTTTCATTTTCTTAACAGCAAATTTTAATGAGAAGTTCAAAATTTTGAATTTATCCCTTGATTGTTTTGATGCCTTTTTGAAAATCAAGTAACTGTAGAGGTATGAGCTTACTTCTAGGCTCTCCGTTCTTTTATGTCTGTCCTTATGAAAGTATCTGTCTTGATTAGCACAGCATTCTAGTAAGTCTTGAAATCAGGTAGTGTAAGTCTTTTAACTCTGTTCTTTTTCAAGATTGTTTTAGATATAATAATCCTTTGTTTACATTTTCACGTAAATTTTGGAATCTGCTTGTCAATATTCTACAAAAAAGCCTGATGGAGTTTTGATTGGGACTGCATCGAACCTATAGATCAATCTGGAGAGAACTGATATCTTAATACTGAGCCTTCCAATCCAGTATTGGATTAATTTTTCTCAGCAATGTTTATAGTCTGAAGTATATAGTTCTCATATTATTTTGTTATACTTATTCTAAGTGTTTTATGTATTTTTTTGCTGTTATAAATACAATTTTAAAATTCCAGTTGACTGTTACTAGCATATAAGAGTACAGTTGATCTTTTTATATCAACTTTGTATTCTGCAACCTCTGTAAATTCACTTATTAGTTCAAGTAGCTTTTTCATAGATTTCTTAGAATTTTCTATGTATGTGACAAGTCACTGGCAAATAAAGACAGTTATTCTTCTTCCTTTTCAGCCTGTATGCCTTTCTTTTCTTTCTTGCCTTATTGCAATGGCTAGTACTTCCAGTACAATGCTTAATAGGTGTGGTAAGAGTGGTAATCCTTGCCTGGTTCCCAGTCTTGGAAGGAAAGCATTCACTATTTTGCATTAAGTGTAGCTGTAGGCTTTTGGTGGATGCCTTTTATCATGTTGAGGACATTCATTTCCATTTCAAGTTTGCTGATTTTATCATGAATAGGTATTAAATGTTTTTCTAAATCTAGTGAAGCAATCATATGGTTATTATATTTTATTATGTTAATACAGTGAATTACATTGATTTATTTTAGCAATATCTCCCTGCATTATTTTTAACAGCTACTCTATAATCTCCTGAAATTGTAAAGAATATTCATTCATGTAACCTTATCTATATTTTTACTGAACTCAATTTGCCTAAATACAATAGGCAGCTTAGGGATGGGCCCTTGAAACAGAACTTGATTTAAGAAGTGTATCAGAGAAACTGATATGATAAAAAATTCCTCCTGCAAAAAGCCCCAGGGCCAGGTGATCTTATAGTGGAGTTTTAATAAATGTTCTAAAACCATTAATTCCTACATTAGACAAATTATTCCAAAAAACAGAAAAAAAAAAAACTAACTAGCTCATTTGATGAGGTTAGTGTGACCTTGATTCCAAAATCAGGTGAGAATAGTATAAGAAAATATAGAGCCATTTAACTTATAAACATAAATATTAAAATATTAAATATAATTCTGGATAATCAAATCCAACTTGACTTTTCAAAAAATTCAAGATTATGTAAAGTTTATCCAAAGGAATAAAAAGATAGTTCAACATAAAAACAATCTATTAATATAATTCATCACATTAACATACTAAGGGCAAAAAATTATATAATTATTTCAATAAATGTAGAACATGCATTTAATAAATTATATAATAAAGTAATTCTTAGCAACTAGGAATGAAAAGAAAGTTTCTTAACTTCATAAATATTTTATTTCCCAAAGCTACAGAAAATGTTAAACTTTTAGAAAAAATTTACATGCATTCCCTTTAAGATTTGGGTATGATAAGATACCCACTATCACTGCTAATGCTTAAAAGCAATGGAGGTTCTGGCCAGCAACATAATAAAAGGAAACAAAAAGTGTAAAAATAAAAAGGGAACAGATAAAACTGTCATTTGTTTTTGTAGACAATATAATTATTTATATGAGAAACAGAAGTTTTTGCAGAATTGGATAAGGTGGTCCTAAAACTCATATGGAATTGCAAGAGACCCAGAAGAGTCAAAACAATATTGAAAAAGAAGAAAGTGAAAGGACTAATACTTTCTGATTTCAAAACTTATTAAAAGTTACAGCAATCAAAACAGTGTGGTATTCGCATGAGGACAGACATACAGATCAATGAAATAAACTTGAAAGTCCAGAAATAAACCCATGCATGTATGATCAATTGATTTTCTACAAGGTTGCCAAGACTATTCAATGGAGAAAGAATAGTCTCTTTTTTTTTTGTTTTTGGTGTTTGATGTGGCTTTTAATTCTTTTTTTTTTTTTTATAAATTTTTTGTTTATT